GATCACTAAGGCATTAATGGCCGCACTTGAATTGGGCATGATTGGGTTGGAATCACACCATACCGACTGAAGATCGCCTGGAGCACTTGGTAGAGAGGAAAACAAAGACCACACATGAACTGGTCCTTATAAAACATGAGGTTGTTACCAAATCTCCAGTCGCCTGATCATCACTAGTGACCGCCCAAAGTTTTACGAATTGGTTGAGAACATAGTCACCTTCAAGGAGCACTAATACACCTCGGTGGTGGGGATAGAACTGAACAGCTCTTGGGAGAACTTGGGCATCATCAGACAAACACCTTGGATAGACAAGTTAGAAAAAAAAAAGTGAAAGTCATGTGAAAATTTTTCATAACCCCAATCCCTAATTATAGGGCTCTCAAAGGAGTCGAATCGCCATAGAAGCCAAGACATCATTTTCCACCCTCGAAGACAAGCTAGTCATATTGAACACACAATTCGAGAAAAAAATTCCTATTTAAAAAAATTTATAATTACAAAAGCCTCTTGGCAATTAGTCTGAGAAGTACTTTATAAAACTATCACTCACCACTTCAGTCGGACCTCGTTGAAGCAACCTTATATAAACCGCCTCTCCTCCTAACATAAATATATCCATTCTTTTTTATTTCAGATTGAATTGGAATGACAGAGACCGCCTCCCGAGTGGTCACCATTTCCGCACGTAGTGCAGCCATCTCCCTACAGAGAGCAATCAACTTGTCCTAGAAGGTGATCGCCTGAGCACACAGGGTAGTAACCTCTTCCTCCAACTTCTCCACCTTCTCGATCGGGGCTAGCAAGGCTCGCATCTCTTTGCCCTACAGGAGTCCAACCGCCCAGGCAAATGAGTCTTTAATCTCCCGCAACTGGTCTCGCAACAATCCAAGGGAAATATGCCTCCAATCGGTAGCTTCCCTCGTGAGCTCGATTGGACCAATCAAATATCCAACATCTCCAATCTCGTCAAAAGTCCGATTTCCACCAATCAAACCCTTATCAGTGGCCGCCAAATTTGTGGCATCGCCGGCACCAACCTCCGTCACGGGTGAGTCAGCGGTCAAGATCTCGATGGTCGGAAGAGCTACATCAAAAAAGAAGAATGAAGGAAAATTCAAGAAGGAAAGAGATCACCTAAGCAAGATCAAAGTTCCTCGTAAAAGCTATTCAATCCCACTCAAATGCACTAAATGACACATCATCCTCACCAGCCTTCTTCTATATCACAGGCAATTAAGGGATGTCGGCAGTCCCCTGCGACTCGAGTTGCATCATGGTGTTGACGGACCCTTGATTGACGCCACTAGCAAGTAATGCCTTTTTCTTTGCAAACAAGATCGATAGAGTAGCAGATGGCGCGCCCGAATGCCGTCTTTTCTCCATCTGAATCTTCACTAGTTGACGACCACAAAAGGAGTCTGACGACCAACCTGAACTTCCAAGTCAGGCATCTACCACTTCCTCATGGCCAGCTTCTTCCTCTTCTCACCCTCTGGAAGGTTAACCCCCCTCATCTCTTTGAGAGCTTGGCAATATATAGTCCTACTAAAAAGGTCGAATTTGAAGGTCAACATGTTCACCATGATGGCAACTAAACTTGGAAGAGTCGAGACAATCAAGCGACTGAGATGATGAGAAAATCCAAGGCTTTCACGCCCTATTTATAAGAATGAACAGACACGAAAATCGGGGAAGTTCAATTATTGAATGATTGAATAATCATAAATGATATTTATTACTACACATTAAATTCTCTTAATCTTATCGTAGCACGACTTTCAAGAAATAAGAAAATTGGAAACTAAATATATACACAAAAATCTTATGGGCAGGAATCTCGAGGAAATCTAACAGTCTAAGGAGAAAGGCCCTGATTATCGAGAGGGCCCAACAAAAGGCGGATCAATGAACCCCATTTCCGACCTGATATAGTAAACCCGAGATTGCCCAAGTCACCAGGGTAGTCGCGAAGTTATCAGCCCAAGCAGCTCATCAAACAACAAGCGAAGAATCCTCCAGGCCTGCCACTGTAACAAAATCAGTCCTAAGGAGAGGCTAAACCTATGACTGTTATACTGGGATCACTCAGTCGTCTCCGCAAAATGCAACCAAAAAAATAGAAGTCCCATCCATCCCACCAAGATCCTCTCATTTAAGGAATGGCAACCCATCAGATAATAGTGATTTATCATTTGCCCGATGGCCTAGCCTACCTTGTTTACAGAAACTTCTTAGTGGAGATCGAGCGTCGGCTAGACTATTATCATCAATCAACTAAACATATCGATCAGATCATTCCTACCAACCTGTGGTCGTCAAGCATACTGGCAACATTACGCTAGACAACAATAACAGGCATAGCCGACCGACATCATCACTAAGCCTTATTCAGTCCAGTTAGCCAAGCCGGTCGGGGCAGAGAACAAAAAGGTTTTGGGCCCACGAGGACATTTATATGTAATTTTATATGTTATTTCTCCTTTGCCTATAAATAGAGGATCATTTCATGAATAAATGATTACACAACCCTTTCACTCTATTGTCCATTTCTATGCTTTCTCTCTGTCTCTCTCTCTCTCTCTCTCTCTACTTCTCTACGTTCTAATCTTTGGGTGTGATTCACAGGACAAATTTGGATTCAATACTACTAGCATATTTCTTTGTTAAAAAAGAAAGAATGTGATGTAGAGGGCTTAGGTTGATATAATAAACCTAAGCCTACAATTTGCAATTTTAATGAAGTTGAAATTGATAATTCATTATTAGTATTGTAGGAGAATGATAACTCTATGTCATTGGTTTAAGCACCTTGGAAATATTATACAAAGATATTAGAATATATATGAAAACATAACTTCTAGAAGTTAAAGCTTGATGGTTAAATTTGAGAAGAGACAGATCTGTATTATGCAATAAGAAAATATATGTCAGCGGATGGGATTTACATAATGACTATTAGAATTATGCAAAAAAGAACTCAATAGCAGGCAATTTAAATTTGAGAAAAATAAAAAGGGGATTAACTTTATGTGGTTTGGGCATGCATAACAAGAGTCACAAGATCCAATAAAAGGGAAAGAAGAAAGTATTTATAAGACTTATAAAGAAAAAGAGAAAAAGCAAATAAAGCATGTAAAAATAATTAAATGTGGCGATGATTGAAGAAAGAAAGAATAATTTGTTCGCCAGGGAGACTTATGCTTAAAAGTAGCAGAATAAAAATGCAATCTGATTGAGATTCGCGCATCTATCCATAGAATTTACAAAATGTCATTATTATTTTGGATCTTATAGTTCAGCAATAGAAAAAGAAGCCTATGACATAAATGGTCATCAAGACATGGAAATATTTAAAACATACAACCAAGTTTCACTTACTTTTCATTTGAAGTTGAACAAAGACTTTAACCGAACCATACCTATGATTTAAAAGCACACATGTCTAGCTATCACAACAAATATTATAACTTCGTGTCATTAACTTCAACAGAAATTCATATAAAAAAGGCCTTAACTGTTTCATGACATGACAAACTGTTTAGTCAACAACCTAGCTTAATAAATTTTAAAATTATGTATCAATACCAGCAATATGTATGCTATGTAAGATATATATCTGTATTTTGAAATTAAATACAAAATGAAAGTAATGAAAATATAGGGACTTCAGGCTAGTAGTTATAAGATAGTCTTGGCCTTATTTTTCATCAAAATAAGTCACGTGAAGGCTTATACAAACTTTCTTGATGAAATTCTAAGATGATTCCTTACGAGAGTCTTTAAGTTTTATTTGGGAAGGCATCCCTAGCACTTTTTTGCTTCATTTAGGTTTGAGGAGTGTAAAGATCAAAGTGTTTTTCCTTCGGCCCTTACCTCTGCACCAATGAAAAAAGATGGCTGGAAAAATATAACAAATGAATGTCAAAGATCATTTGATCATGAATTAGATACATCAAAATTTTCACAATAGAAAGCTCCAATAGCATGATAAAATTTTATATATATAACGCAAAAGAATTTGAAAAACGAGAACATATGTGAAATAGTCTTGAGTAGCTCAGAGGCTTGGAATTGATTCAAAATATGGAAATCAGGTGGAAGGCCCAAAAAATTTAAACAGATCTGCTACCTCTCCTTCCCCAATATATAAACTCAAAAAAAAAAAAAATTGCAAACTATGAGTATGGGCTAGGGGTTTAATAGGTGAATAGTGAATACTGAACAATTCTGAATTTTCAGGACAAAAACAATTCTCCCACAAGCACCCTTTTTTTTTTTTTTTTTGGGCTTTTTTGGGTCCATAACAAATTAAATTTTTAAGAAGACATGTTGAAAAAAGGTCGAATCAATGAAAAACTTAAATTTGTGGAGAACGGACCCAAGATATTAACAGGAATAATAAATCATCATTTGGCTTCATTTCAAGGATTTCACCAAGTTAGGCCTCCCAAATTCAATGTTAGAATCATCTACAGATCCCAGAATGCAATAGCTGCCCTTCAGAACGGAACTAATCGGATATTTATCGTCCAACTCAACCAAAGACAACAAATTTGTGGATCTTAAAGTTCAAAGAAAAGTGAAATAATTCAAAAAATAAAAAAAAAATAGAAAGGATTCATTAAGTGCCTTCTCTAGAATCATGCGAATTCGAAAGTACCGCATGCCTAGAAGATTAACAGGCACCATCAATTTTTTTTAGTTTGCTCTCAGAAAAACATTTACATAGGCATAGATTAACACCAAACTCGCCTCTTCCCAAACCAAGGACGGTAGTTCCCTGCCTGAAGGCACCTTAGTTTAGAAAATATATATATAATTCTCCCTAATCTTTTTTAATTTCAGTTAACAAACGACATCAGCCTCACACTGCCAGGACATGCTGCTTAAATGATCTACTTACAGAAAAAAAAATTTCAGCAAAAGCCAAACACAAACTATAGGAAAAAGGAGGGAAGGGAGCAAAAGGATCGAACAAATTGGAACAAAACACAGACATGTTTACAGGCCTTTATCCCAAATAAAGTTCTCCCTGCCTTCGCTTCCAAAATCCTTCCGTGCGATAGTAGAGCTCTTTCAGCGTCCGCTCGAAACGACTTCTCATTACTCCACTCACAAAACAATCACCATGAATCGGACTATTGCTGGAACAACCACATGCTCATTTCCTTGGCAAGAACTAGGGCTTTCCAGTCCACGGACAAGATGAGGTTCGATCAAGAGAGACTTAAGCGCGGAAAGGGAACAAGCAGGTAGAGAGATGGATGATAAAATGGTGGAGCGGGGAAGGATCTGGTGAGTTTTTCAGAGTTGGGAATGCGATCTAGCGTGCGCCGGATTCCAACGGAACCGATAGGGTGATTGTTTCGCCGAGGGATGGAGAGGGGAGCTTCAGGAATACAACCATGGCGGGTTTAAGACGGCGTTGGGCAAATCTCACGCTATTTGAGTAAAAAGATTGATTCAGGAGGTCTTCCTCATAAAAATTGTGTCACTTCACTGTTGAATTATTGATGAAATGTATTAGGACTCCTGATGAAATATTTTTTACTATTTTAGAGATATTTTGGCTGCTTTAAATGAAATAGGATTTACTAGATTCAGTAAATTTGAACTTATTAAATCTAAATATTATTAAATTTGAAATAATATTTGATTCAATTATATTAAATTCAGTTAAATTTATTTGATGAGTTTGATATAAATCAATTGAAAATATATTTTTACTGCGCTAAATCTGTTAAATCTAACTTATAAGTGAATTTTGTAAATCGGGATTTAATAAATGAAAGAAACAAAAATTGAATATAACTTATTTACCTAACTTATGTATATATTACATATATGTCACACAAATCTTATGTATTTACATACCGAATACTTGAACAATGACATTTACATGCATATTACTCAAAATCTGAACATCCCATCTAAAACATTAATATTTTCTTCTTTTTTAAATTGAAAGACACTTTTTTTTCTTTGTTAATTTATGACTACACAATGTTGTCAGTGTAAATAAAGATCAAACATTGGGTGTTAATATATAAATACATAAAGATCAAACATTGGGTGTTAATATGTAAATACATAAGAAATGTGTGCATGGATGTTTTTTTTTGCATGTAACTCTTTTCATATATATATATATATATATATATATATATATATATATATACTTCATAATCTCATTATGCTTTCTCTTGCTTTTATTACTAAACCCGCTAAATATCGTTTTAAATTTCTGAATATTTGGACTACTCACGATACTTTTTTTAGCACTGTGAAACAGGCCTGACATACAAATGATGTCAGTAATTTTTTGTATGTTTTGTGGCAACTGCATAAACATGTAGCTGATGGATTAAGGAAGTAGAATGTTATGCATTTTGGTAATATTCATAATAGAGTCAAAGAGGCTAAGAAGGTTGTGGATAACTTGGAGAATCTGGTTATTTGTAATCTGCAACATGTCATTGAGTTGGCCCAAGCCCATAACAAACTGTTAGAAGAGATTAATCTGGAAGAGTTCTTACAGCAAAAAGCTAATGATATTTATTTTACTAGTGGAGATCGCAATTCAAAATTTTTCCACGCCTCTATTAAGCATAAAAGGAATTTGAGTACTATTTTAAATATTAATACTGCTGATGGGAGGAGTATCACTGGCAAGGATGAGATTGGCAACAATGCGGTGGAGTATTTTACAAATGTATTTCATTCTTCCTCTCAGACTCTCCCTATTATTTCTGATTTTTTTTAAGGTGAAAGGGAATATACTTCTAAAATTGATATTTCTAATATTCCAACGGAACAAAAGATTTATGCGGTGTTTAAGGAAATTAATACTAATAAATCTCCTGGACATGATGGTTTCACTGTTGCTTTTTATGTAACGAGTTGGGAGATTATTAAAAAAGATGTGATTAAAGCTATTCAAAGTTTTTTTCCAGGGGGAAGACCCTGGGAAATATTTACATCTTCGTTGATTGTTCTTATTCTTAAGGGGAATGATAAATCTAGCTGGGATAAATTCAGGCCTATTTCCCTCACTTCTGTGATCTCTAAAGTTATTAGCAAATTGCTTCTCTATAGATTACAACCTATGTTGAGTAATATTATCTTTGTTCATCAATCTGCTTTCATTAAAGGAAGGGAGATAACTGATAATATTCTTTTAGCGCAGGAGATGATAGAAGATCTTGATAAAAAGTGTCGTGGAGGTAATATGATTCTCAAACTTGATAATAAGAAGGCTTATGATACTATCAACTGGGATTTCATATTAAATATCTTGTGGGCCAGAGGTTTTCACAATAATTTTTTCTCCCTTAGTCGTAGATGGTTGGTGAATAATCATTATGGTTAATGGAAATTCTTATGGATTTTTTTTCTGCTACAAGGGGAATTAAACAGGGAGATCCTTTATCCCCTACAAGTTTTATTCTTGCTTTTGATTATTTCTCTAGATTAATTAACAATTTACAAATGAACAAACCTTATACTCAATTCTCACATAAATCTTCTATTATGATTAGTCATTTGGTGTATGCTAATGATGCCATAATTTTCAGTAATGTCAGTAAATCAACCATTAAAGCTCTTATGCAAGTAATAGATACTTTTCAAGATAATTCTAGTCTGGTTTTCAGCAAAGATAAATGTAATATGTATTTTGGGAATTCTGTCAAAAGCTCTATTGTGATTTGGAGTAATAATTACAATGGGTTTCATGCTTCCACCTTGCCCCTGAAATATTTGGGAATAAATTTGCTTAAGGGCCATCGAAAGCAAATACAATTAGATGAAGTTGTGGAAAAGATCAAAAATAGAATTAATGATTGGAGGAATAATTTCCTGTCTAATGGGGGTCGCATTACCCTCCTCAGAAATGTTCTATTAAATATCCCTTTATATGCTCTTCAAATCTTGAATCTTAAGAAAAGCACTCAGATCTAATTAGAAAGATTATTTGACTGATTTCTTTGGTCGGCTAATCAATCCAGAAAGCATTGGATGTCATTTGATAAATTTACCAAGCCTATTGTAGCTGGGGGTCTTAGTTTAAAGAGTTTGAAGCAAATCACTGACAATAGTATGTGCAAGTTGTGGTTTAAATTTCATGATAATACTTTGTTATGGGCTCACTTTCAATTTCATAAATATTGTACTAAGTCAAATCTGGCTATAGTTTAGTGGAAAGTGGGGGATTCTAAGAGTTGGAAAGCTATTTTGAAAGCAAGAGAGGTCGCGAGAAAATTCATATTTTGGGTTGTGGGTGAAGATAATATTTCCTTAATAATTTGGGCTTAGGGGATACGGTATTATCTATTACTTATTACTTCTCCACAGAATAATAAATTGACTATCTCTGATATTTGGTTGGAAGGAAATTGGGATGTTAATAAATTAAGGTCTCTTATTGGGGATAGAACTAAGTTTGTTACTAAGATTCCTATAAAGAAGGAGGGCAAAGACACCCCCATTTGGAAAAAATCCTATAATATATCTTCTTTGAAGCTATTGTATTCGAATATATATTTTCATGAAAAATGCGATGGGGTAAAATTATTTGGAATCATTTTCTAACTCCCTCTATCTCTTTTTTCTTATGGAGATTTTTTCTTAATATGCTTCCTCTTGATGATATTCTTAAACTTAAAGGGTTGAAATTTGCTTCACAATGTCATTTATGCAAGAATGAAGAGGAATCGATGGTGCATCTTTTCTTCCCGTGTTCTTTTGCTAAAGAAATTTGGAATACATTGGGAAAACACTTTCATATTAATTGCGTGATTGTAATGATATCAAAAGCTACCTTTTAAAGTGGAGGGCTGCAGATAGGATGGATTCCAAATTAGCTAGCTTCCCTTTATTGGTGATTTGGTTTATTTGGGTGGTAAGGAATAATCATAAATATCAAAATTTGGGTTCGTTCCCAACTAATATGGTTTCTTATATTCTTTCTTACTTATTTCGTGCTTGCCGTAATTTGGGGTTGAATGTTGATTTACATCCACCAAAGATGGGTAGGATGACCACTATTATTAAGTGGAAACCCCCTCCTAAAGGCTGAATCAAAGTGAATATTGATGGAAGTTGGACTTCCAAGGCAGTTGGAGCTGGAGGTGTTTTTAGAGATTATTTAGGCTTGTGCAGATGTTTCTTTGCTTCTCCGATTATTACTTCATCCCCTTTTGAGGCCGAATGCTGGTCATTTTTACTCTCTTCGAAGGTGTCTATTGCTTTTAAATTCTCAAATCTGATTATTCAGACTGATCAGTTTAATCTCTGTAAGGAGTTTGATATGAATAATGCACCTAAATGGAATGTCGTGGCAATTTGGAATAGAATAAGAGAGCTTATTCATAAGTTTAATATTTTTATTCTTTTCTCACATATCCTAAGGGAGGGCAACTCCCCGGCGGATTGGTTGGCTGGAAGGGGTAAAATGAAGGAAATGTTATTTGTTGGTGTTTCACCTGAGAATCATCTAAAATATCTTCTGAGGGGGGTCTCTATGGATTTACCTTATATTAGGCCATGAGAAAATTTATTTTATGGATATTGAAGGCTGTAATGCTTGTTCGGAGGGATTTATCTATATTTGCTTTGAAGGCATGAATATGGCTACGATTTCGGTTTTAAAGAAAAGGTGGAGATTTAAATTCAGTTTTTATGATGCTTTTACATCCCATAAAAAAATATCTGATATTTAAGGCTTATTGAAGTATGCATTGAATGCTATCGGAAGGGTGGACTAAATTTTGTGGTTACGGAATTTATTTAGCCTTAATGTATATTTTGGCATGGGAGTAATTAAAGGCTTTTATGTACTTTTTGTGGTAACTTTTATTTCAGGAAGGGAAGATGCCTAAATTAAAATAGCTGAATCATTTTCAATTTTTTAGCTGCATATTTGGCATGGGGATTATCAAATTTCAGTTATTTGATACAATTTGGTAAAAGATTTACGGCAAATTTGGCAAGGCCTATTTGGATGCCGTGATTATCAAAATTTGGCATTTATGGCTGTCGTGATTATCAAATATTTGGCATATTTGGCTGCAGTAATTACGACATATTTGGCAAAGCAATTACGGTTTTAATAGTTGCACATTTGGAATGGAAATTCGGCTATTTGCTGCATATTTGGCATGAGATATGGCATATTTGCTTTATAACCATTTTATCTACAATTAAGTTGCGGTTTTTTTGTTTTTATGGAATTCATTGACATCATTGAGGATTGTAATAAAATACAATCAAGGGACCTAGATTTATGGAAGTTTTTTATGTGAACCTAATTTTATTGTGGAGTTCTGAATGACTTTTACACTAACAATTCGCACCATATGGAGTATATTTTTGTTTGTTTGCAGGATGTAAGACTTGGATTTTGGGATAGGATGGTATTGCAATTTTATTTTCTGCATTGCAATTTTATTTTCTGATTTTATTTTCTGCTATCAAGTAGGGTGG